CCCCGGGCCCTCTTTCCGAGGCCTTGCCCGGCCTCTGGGGGGGAGGTCCAGGGGCCGGGATGTGCCCTCTGGGGCCGGATCCCCAGGGCCCGGGCCCCGTGCTTTTTCCGGGGGTCCGCCCGGTCCCCCTGGGGGCCGGTGTGCTCCGCCCGGGGGGCCCCGGGGCCCGGGCTCCCCCCGGGGGGCCCCCCGGGCCCCGCCGGGGGCCCCGGCCCCCCCCCATGTGCCCCTTTTCCCCGGGGGGCAGCCCAGTGCCCCGCCTGGGGGCCAGGGCCCTTGCCCCCGCCCGGGGGGTTTGTGCCCCCCGCCCGGGGGGGCCCCCCGCCGCGTGGGGGGGCCCCGGGGGCCCGTGTTCCCTTGCCGATGTGCCCCTGCCGGAGTCCATCCCCATGTGCCCTGCCCGGGGTCCGCCGATGTGCTCTGCCATGGTCTGCCCCATGTGCCTCTGCCCGGGTCCCCCATGGCCTCTGCCCGGATCCAGCCCCTGGTGCCTCTCCCGGGGAGTCCAGCCCGGTGTGCCTCTGCCCGGTGTACCACTGCCCGGAGTCCTGCCCGGTGTGCCAGTCTTTGATATCCCGCCAGTTACCAGACCCGGGCGGTGGAAAATTTTTCCCAGCTAAGACTGTTTGGAGCGTCCTGAGGCCGCTCCTTGGGGGGGGGTACTGTCAGGAATGGACTGGCCAGCAATGGTGGGACTCACCTGCCTTTTGATCTGCAGTACCAGGGCTGGCCAGCGGATGCTCCCAGCAATCAGAGACTCAACTTTGCAGCCAGCTAACACCTGGAACTGATTATGCTGGGGTATTTAAGGGATGGCCAGACCCACAGACTCTGCCTTGGTGTTGTGTTTGTCCTGGGCCCTGTATCCTGTTTCTGTCCTGTATCCTGTTTTCTGAACCGCTGCTGACTTCTCCTGCTTTGATCTCGGCTCGCTCCTGACCATCCCTCTGCCTGACCCTCTGTACCACGCTGCTTGCTACCTGTTCTGATCCCTGGCTTGTGACCCTGACCATCCCTCTGCCTGACCCTCTGTACTACGCTGCATGCTACCTGCTGAACCTGGCCTGTGACCCCGACCAATCTCCGCTTGCTCCTCCCCTGTACCTACCTGCCCTATTGATATTGACCCGGCCTGCCTGACGACGCTTGCTTGTATGTACTGTTATCTGTGGGTGGTTGGTTTGGTTTGGTTTGGTTGCACTGTATTATGTTTTAGTATTGCACTGCGTTTATGTTTGTATTGTTAGTGTTAATAAATTATATTGTTTATAACATATCTGAGGTCTGCGTTTCCCTGCGTCAGCCACACACCTCTGGTCACACCTGGGAGCCCTGACAGGGCCTGGCAGCAGCTATGGGAGGCCCGTATTCTGCCAGCACCCTATGACAAAAAATGGAACACACCAGCAGTGTGAGGAGACCTGAAAGTGGCACATGGCATGAGACACTGTGGACCTGGCAGCAGCATGAGGAGGCGGTACAGGGGCCCATGGCAGATTAGGGGCCTGGCAGCAGCTATGGGAGGCCCGTAATCTGGCAGCACCCTATGACAAAAAATGGAACACACCAGCAGTGTGTGAGGAGACCTGAAAGTGGCACATGGCAGAGTGTGGCGATGGAGACAACCCACCGACTGTTTTGCTCGCTGCCAAGCTGCCACCCTCTTCTCCTGATGATGCGGAAGCAATAGCCTGATGACGACGAGGCTGCCAAGTGCGATCAGCCTCATCATCATCAATTAGGGTCTCCGCCTCACTACTAGCCCCCTCGGCTGCGTGTGGGTCAGGAGACAGACCTGTCTCTAGACCGGCTACCGAGCCACTCTCCTCGCCACTACTTCTTCGCCTGGCTGCTGAAGAGGCGGATGTCTCCCCCCGTTCCTGACCGCCCTCTGTTAGCTCTTCCTCACTGTACTGGATGACACCGGGAGCACTGGCCTCTGGCTGCGAATAGTGCTGCCTCAACCCCTTCCTCTGCTGCCACGTCTGCTCGCTCCTAAAACATTGCCTCCTCTGCCACTCCTCTGCATGTTGTCTGACATACTCTTTAATTAAACGATTCTGTGTCCCTGAGTAACAATTCTGTGTCTGTCCCTGAGTAACAATTCTGTGTCCCTGAGTAAGGTTTCTGTGGCCCTAAGTAACAGTTCTGTGGCCCTCAGTAACAATTCTGTGTCCCTCAGTAACAATTCTGTGTCCCTCAGTAACAATTCTGTGTCTGTCCCTGAGTAACAATTCTGTGTCCCTGAGTAACAAATCTGTGTCCCTGAGTAACAATTCTGTGTCCCTGAGTAACAATTCTGTGTCCCTGAGTAACAATTCTGTGTCCCTGAGTAACAATTCTGTGTCTGTCCCTGAGTAACGTTTCTGTGTCCCTAAGTAACGTTTCTGTGTCCCTAAGTAACGTTTCTGTGGCCCTAAGTAACGGTTCTGTGGCCCTCAGTAACAAATCTGTGTCCCTCAGTAACAATTCTGTGTCTGTCCCTGAGTAACAATTCTGTGTCCCTAAGTAACGTTTCTGTGTCCCTAAGTAACGTTTCTGTGGCCCTAAGTAACGTTTCTGTGGCCCTCAGTAACAATTCTGTATCCCTCAGTAACAATTCTGTGTCTGTCCCTGAGTAACAATTCTGTGTCCCTAAGTAACAATTCTGTGGCCCTAAGTAAAGTTTCTGTGGCCCTAAGTAACGTTTCTGTGGCCCTAAGTAACGATTCTGTGGCCCTAAGTAACGTTTCTGTGGCCCTAAGTAACGATTCTGTGGCCCTAAATAACGTTTCTGTGGCCCTCAGTAACAAATCTGTGTCCCTCAGTAACAATTCTGTGTCTGTCCCTAAGTAACAATTCTGTGGCCCTAAGTAACGGTTCTGTGGCCCTCAGTAACAATTCTGTGTCCCTCAATAACAATTCTGTGTCTGTCCCTAAGTAACAATTCTGTGGCCCTAAGTAACGTTTCTGTGGCCCTAAGTAACGTTTCTGTGGCCCTAAGTAACGATTCTGTGGCCCTCAGTAACAATTCTGTATCCCTCAGTAACAATTCTGTGTCTGTCCCTGAGTAACAATTCTGTGTCCCTAAGTAACGTTTCTGTGGCCTAAGTAACGATTCTGTGGCCCTCAGTAACAAATCTGTGTCCCTCAGTAACAATTCTGTGTCTGTCCCTAAGTAACAATTCTGTGGCCCTAAGTAACGTTTCTGTGGCCCTCAGTAACAAATCTGTGTCCCTCAGTAACAATTCTGTGTCTGTCCCTAAGTAACAATTCTGTGGCCCTAAGTAACGTTTCTGTGGCCCTAAGTAACGATTCTGTGGCCCTCAGTAACAATTCTGTATCCCTCAGTAACAATTCTGTCTGTCCCTGAGTAACAATTCTGTGTCCCTAAGTAACGTTTCTGTGGCCCTAAGTAACGATTCTGTGGCCCTAAGTAACGTTTCTGTGGCCCTAAGTAATGATTCTGTGGCCCTTAGTAACAATTCTGTGTCCCTCAATAACAATTCTGTGTCTGTCCCTAAGTAACAATTCTGTGGCCCTAAGTAACGTTTCTGTGGCCCTAAGTAACGATTCTGTGGCCCTCAGTAACAAATCTGTGTCCCTCACTAACAATTCTGTGTCTGTCCCTAAGTAACAATTCTGTGGCCCTAAGTAACGATTTTGTGGCCCTCAGTAACAAATCTGTGTCCCTCAGTAACAATTCTGTGTCTGTCCCTAAGTAATAATTCTGTGGCCCTAAGTAACGATTCTGTGGCCCTCAGTAACAAATCTGTGTCCCTCAGTAACAATTCTGTGTCTGTCCCTAAGTAACAATTCTGTGGCCCTAAGTAACGTTTCTGTGGCCCTAAGTAACGATTCTGTGGCCCTCAGTAACAATTCTGTATCCCTCAGTAACAATTCTGTCTGTCCCTGAGTAACAATTCTGTGTCCCTAAGTAACGTTTCTGTGGCCCTAACTAACGATTCTGTGGCCCTAAGTAACGTTTCTGTGGCCCTATGTAACGTTTCTATGGCCCTAAGTAACGATTCTGTGGCCCTAACTAACGTTTCTGTGTCCCTAACTCTCTCCCTGCATACAGCCAGGTCTGCCTCTGTTGAACGACTGGAGGCAAATGGAGAATTCTAAAATGGCCGCCATTTATAGCTCGACCATTACACTGTGCTGGCTGGCTGGCTGCTGATTGGCTAATGCGATCACATGTCATGAATGAATGCATTATGGGTCAGCGCGCCTTGTCTGCGCGCCTTCCCAGATATCCCCGCTCCGTCGCCGCACATGTTTTAGGAAAAATTTTGATTCGCGCATCCGAAGTCTGCTTATTTTCGGATTCGACGCCGCAAATCAAAATTTTCCTAATATTCGAAACGAATTCCACTTCGCCTACTTCGATTCGCTCATCTCTAATGATCACCTTAACTATGTTTATCCAACCTATCCAAGACAGTTTTATTGTAGACATTTTCCTCAGTTCATCTTTTAGCTCATTTATTAGAGGGATCTAATTTGCCTTATACAGATTTTTTATATGCAATGATAATTTTATTCCCAAGTACTTTCATTCTTTTTCTCTCCATTTAAAGAGGAACCTTTTTGTAGGATTTGTTTCTCAACCTTTGGAACATTTATATTTAATATCTCACTTTTTGAGGGGTTATATTTCAAGTTAGATAACTCCCTATATTCTTTGAATTTTTTTTCATTAGGTTCTGCCACTTTATATTCAACATCCACATTCCCCTAATATCTACACTATTTCTAACAGTTGCTAATAGAGGTTCCATAGAGATAACAAACAGCAACGGGGACAGAGGGCATCCCTGGCTTGTGCCGTTATACGTTATAAAAGTTTTTTTATAATGAACCATTTACCTTCACTGCAGCTGAGGGGGCCTCTATATAACTCTTTAATCCACTGTGTCATTCTAGGTCCGATTCCTAGTATTCTCAACGTATCAAACATAAATCCCCACTCAACTCTATCAAAAGCTTTTTTCAGTATCTACTGCCAGAATAATTCCTCTCCTCTTTCATTCTTTTGTAGGAAAAGCAATGTTCTTAAACCATTATCCTTTCCCTCTCTACCCAGACTAATTCCCACTTGGTCTGTGTATCCAGCCAGACATCAACTCTTTCATCCTGCTGGCTAGTACCTTTGCATATAATTTTGTATCAGTATTCAGCAAAGATATGGTTCTATAGCTGGGACACTGAGACCAATCTTTCCCTTGCTTGGGTATTACTGTTATATATGCCTGTAACGATTCCTTCCTCATCTTTGTCTCCTCTCCTAGTACATTCATATATGAGCATTCTCTTACCTGTCTAATGTCCTTCTTCCTTACCCTTAGGGCCCGATATAGCCTATCTTCTGACAAGGGGGGTTTTTCCTCCATGGCATTATTAGACATATGTGAGGGACATGGCAGCAAGGGGAACAATGAGAGAGAAGGTAAAAAAACACACAAGGAAAGGGGAAGGAGACTCCCAATTTAGATCCTCCACCTCCCACTTCTCTTTCACTTCCCCTTTACCCTGCCATTTCCCCCAAACGCTTTTCTCTTTTTAGAGACTCTTTGCCAGTTCTCCTCAGCTGCTCCTATATTCTCTTTCTCTCCTAGAGACCACCCATTATTTTTTAAAGCCTGTAATTCTAATTTTTCACAAAAAATCACTTCAATCTTCTGGAAATCTCAGGACTGACGATTTCCTATCTTTCCATCCAATCAAGCAAGCCGGGAATACCCAATTATAGCGGATGTTTTTTGCTCTTCATCTGATTTACCAATGGTCTCAGTAATCTTCTTCTTGCTAGT